TATTTCCTTTGTAAACCCGTTTACCTTAGATGTTATTTATGTACTAGATTTGTTATTACATTAGTTCTTTAGTCCGCTGCTAGAGGTCGTGATCTTATTTTCTTTTCTGCATTCACCTTCCCTGTACTTCTTCTCTTGGGAAACGATCTGGTCTGCATATTGGTTGCGTGCAAGTTTTTCTTGATACGGACGATCCGTGGTCGAAGCAAATCTTGCTTTGGCTAGTGTAAAGTCTTTGTGACTGATTATGATTCTTTTATTGAGTATTACGGTTTTGATTTATCTGATTAGTGTCAGACGTTAAACATTGCTACCGCCGCAATATTTATTTGCTGCGCTATTCATTATCCCTCTTGTTTTTTTGTGTGTTGTTATCTGTTACAGATAAAACCGAAAATCGCCTTTCTGATCTCGGAAAGGTCGTTACAAGCTGTGGTTCAAAAGGTAATATTTTTATTTTTCGGCGACTCCTTAATATGACGTTACATACTGGTTTTCGATACAATCGAATTGTAATTACTACAATAGTCATTTAACCATTATCGTTTCGTTGTTTTCTGCGGAAACCTGTTTTTCCAGACTATACGAGTAGATCCCCGTTTTGCTAAAAATTGATTTAAATTCAAACCTTGACATTTCAGATCTAAATATTACAATATCCTATTTGTAATACTTTGAGATCATACCCTCAATTATCAAGACCAAAACCAGGATCTCTTAATCTGCCTTGTTTCCCCTTTAGGTGAATATTCTCTTTTTTCCTTTGAAATTTACTAGAGACTAAGTGGCGCCTATCCGGGTTACTGTTACGACATTTCCCTTCTGCTTTATTTTTGCTAGTGTACAAGAACACCATTATTCACCCCGACCCGCCTCTACTTTGCTTGAGCTCATCTCGTGATAATTTTGTCACGTTTGCTCGCTTGGCTCAAAGTGGACTGTATATCCATAGGTCGCTGGTTCAAATCCGGCTCGAAGGACCATGTAATTTTTTCTGTGTGATGGTTTCGTGCTTTTCAATCACAGATCAAAATATCGCAAAACTGCATGAATACTGGTGCTTTATTCAACATCATTACAACGAATTTTTCCATACATAGAATAAACAAAAATGCGATTGCGCATAAACATAAACTCAACTATTCGTAACA